CCCCAAAACCCCAAAACCCCAAAACCCCAAAACCCCAAAACCCCAAAACCCCAAAACCCCAAAACCCCTTTTAACGTAACGTTTGTTGAAATATAATTCAAGAAGAATTTGAGTAATTTAGATGGAGCTATTGAATAACTCCGAAGCTTTGAGGAAAGCCTCATTGGACAAAGGATGTCTATTTTTGTCTGGATGAAGATTCAAGACCAGCTTCTTGTAGCCAACCTTCTTAGAATCAGGAGACATTCCACTTAGAATGAATCTGACTCTATCAGCATCTATCTCAAGTACTTTATAAACACATAGTGCTTGTTCGAATGTACATGATTTGGATGCTTCTGGCTGAGCGAAGTAAGCTTCGGCCTTGATTTTGGCTTCAGGGAAGAAAGAATTGTCCTCTGAGGAGAACAATTCCTCTACACTTCCAAACTGGCTTGAAGACTCTGTTTGTGAGTTAACCAAGCATTTTGTCTTGGCATCTTCAAAAACTTGCTTCTGTTTCTTTGCGTTCTCTTGACTTCTGATGTTGCTTTGGCTCTTATACTTATTTCTTTGTTGTTCTTTAGCAAGTTTTATACACACAGAGCACCAGTTTTTATATCCTCTATGAATGTTCACAGTCCATGAGTGTCCTTTGTGGCAGGTAAATTCAACTAGGTTTAGCCCTTTGCTAGAGATACAAGCTGTTCCATTTTTAGTGCTAGCATAATTCTGCTTCTTTTCGAGAGCAGAACTACACTTGGCGCACATATAGAACAGGTTTTGATCGCTTGGATCTCTAGCTGGTAGAGTGCTATATTCCAGTTGGTTGCAGCACTTGCATTTCACCTTGTTACCACTGATCTGAGAGTTGAATTTCTCTCTAAGTTTAGACTTTAAGTCATCTAACACAACGGGAAAGATCTATTTTTCTTCTGCGATCTTTCTAGCTTTCTCAGATTTCTAACGGGAGAGTTAGACGGAGAAGAGGGTTCGGAAGCGTTCAATTCCATATCAAATCTGGAGCTAATTTCATCATTCTTGGTGGATCCACTGAGCTTAAATTCTCCTTCTTCAGTATGTGCCTTGGTGAACACTGAAAGTAATGGAGAGCTTGAGGTTGATTTGTTCAGTGAGAAGTTCATGCACACAAGGCAGTAGGCTATAAAGCAAGTTTAGGGAATGAGTCTTCGGGAAAATTCTCGAATTCAAATTCAAAAGATGATAATTTGAATTATGCTCAAGAAAGAAAAGATTTCAAGAGTTTATCCTTGATCTTTAAGTTGGTTACAGATCTGACTGTTAGACAGATTTGTGGCAGATATAAATAGAAAAATGATCCAGGATTCAAATTTATAAACTTACAAGGAGGCGACAGATACTGGGATCCTGAGGTATTCGACAAATTAGGCAAAGATTGACCGCACTTGCAACATTTCGGGAGACTGGTTGAGACTGTTGTCTTTTCTGATGCAAAAGATACGGCTCGACCTCGGCTTTTCAAGTTTGGCAGTACTGATGCCAAGGATGTTGCTGAAAATTCACCACAAGATCGTAGGAGTGGAGTCTTGCTCAAACCAGGCTGTGATGACAAGCTTTCACCAAGAAAAGATGATAGCCTGCCCCTTGATAGCTTTGGCTTAAAAATAGACTCAGTGGCTCCAGCGAAAGTTGAGGATCTTTCTCTTTTAGCCCCACAATATTGTTGTGGAGCGTGCTGAGGTTCTCGTCCTTGGTATTGGAAAGCTGAGGCGAATCTGGCAGAGGTGGTAGAGGGGTTCATTTGGAGGTGGGGGTCGTCCTTTTGACTTTTATATGAATATTAATTATATAATTTCATTGGTATTAAAATAAATAGGGGTTTTGGGGTTTTGGGGTTTTGGGGTTTTGGGG